CCCCCCCCACCCACAGCCCCGCTGTGGCCACCAGCACAAAGTGCCCATTGAGTCTGGTGGATAATGGCACCCTTCAGCCCCCCGTGTTTGTGAGTGCACCGTCAGATACCGAACCCCCCCCCTCACACACACACACACAGACACACACACACAGTGACATGTAGGTGGAGTCGCCTTCCCTCTGAGTGGACAGCAGACGTGGGGGGGGGTTACGATTCCCATAAACAAACACACAAAGCTGGGTGGCAGTGGGAGGCTAATGTGGCTGACAAACGCACACAGACTCACACAGACCCTCATACACCCACACAGACTCAGTCAGACCCACACAGACTCACACAGACCCACACAGACTCACACAGACTCACACAGACCCTCATAGACCCACACAGACTCACACAGACCCTCATAGACCCACACAGACTCACACAGACCTTCATAGACCCACACAGACCCACACAGACTCACACAGACTCACTCAGACCCACACAGACTCACACAGACTCACACAGACCCTCATAGACCCACACAGACTCACACAGACCCTCATAGACCCACACAGACTCACACAGACCCTCACAGACCCACACAGACCCTCATAGACCCACACAGACTCACACAGACCCTCATAGACCCACACAGACTCACACAGACCCTCATAGACCCACACAGACTCACACAGACCCTCATAGACCCACACAGACTCACAGAGACCCTCATAGACCCACACAAACCATCATCGACCCACACACACCCTCACAGACCCACACAGACCCGCACAGACTCACACAGACTCGCACAGACCCTCATAGACTAACACAGACTCTCACAGACTCGCACAGACTCACACAGACAATGCAGCAGGAAGTCACACTGCGGTCACAGGAAGTTGCAGCTCGGTTTAGCCGGAGCGGACAAAGAGTGAGGAGGCTTTAACGGCCTTTTTATTTTTATTTTAGTGGACGTTTATTCTGAGGTGCTGACGCGCTGCAGCCACAGCAAAAAAGACGCACAAACCCTCCAAATGTGCCGCTGTCCCACAAAGCTCCAGCTCCGTCCACCCCGTCTCCTATACAGGAGTTTAAAGGAACAGAATCAGGGTTTTATGGAGGAGAAATGCTGTTTGTAACCCCCCCACAGCTTTTTATGTAATAAGCCCCTTGGATATTAAGCCTTTAGAGCTTGATCCAAGAACAAATGGAGAGAAATTGTTTTGTTTCTTTGTTTGCGGTCTGTATTTGGCCCTTTAACTAAATCAGTTTTGAGCGTTCATCGTTTGTTATTTTGTAATAAGGCGGTTTTTTGTCTGTGGTCTTCTGTTATCGGGCGGATAAATCTGCCCTCGGGCCTCCTCTGCTCCTCACAGAGTTCAGGGAGGCTTCCTGTTTGCCGTGAACCTCCTCCGGGAGCGCTCTCATGGGGGGGGGGGGGGCAGCAACAGGCTGGGACTTGCAGCAGCAGCAGCACAACCTGTTACAAATGACTCTTATGCAGCCTCGCCTGCACCAAGGCCACCCCCCCCCATCACACTGACCTGGTTTAGGAGCTGCTGCCAGGTTCAACTGACCGACAAACTTTGAACCAAACGATCAGAGTCCCAGGAAAGCCTTCGCTGGGATTAGAAACAAACCTCTATGTGACTTATCAATTTACTCAGAGACAGACAGAATAAGGAGGGACTCAAAAACAGAGGTTCTGCATTTCTGAGCGGCTTAAAGTTTCCTCCATCTCTGACCACTGTGCCAGCAGCAACAATAATCAGACTGAAAAGATATGAGAAAACACCGGAAATATCCACAGAAAATATTTAGGGGAACTAAAAAAAACGAGCCACGAGGCCGTTTTGAAGAACAGAAAATGTCGTTTTGTGGCGAGTCTGGCACGTTCAGGTGGGTTTCTGGTCGGGTCCGCCGCAAAACGGCCACCTGGATCTGCTGGGGTCAAAGGTCACCGCTGACGTCACAGAGCCGCAGACACACACCTGTCTGAGCTCTGAGGAGCACACACACACCAACTGCTCATCCCCACACCCAGATTCTCAACGCGTGCGCATAGTTCTGACTTCATTCGTGCCATTATCAGTCACACACACCCACTCACACACACACACACACACACACACACACACACACGGGGGGAGGGTGTGTCTCTCTAGGACTGGAAACAATGAGCCAGGTTGGACGCCGCTGTTGCACAACTGCCTCGCATTCCCCGCGTGACGCCAGCAGAATGTGGGTGTGTGTGCGCACGCCCTTTTGTCAACGCGACGCACAACCACGGCAGCGGCATGCGGCGTTGGCCCGATGCCCCCCCAATCCCCCCCCCAGCCGGGCAGAGGCCGGTCCGGGGTCTGTCCGCGGGCCCCTTTAAGGGTCAGGGGTTTGTCAGACGCGGGCCTCTGGGCAGACGTGCACGGGCCTGCCGGAGGTGCACGTGCAGCCCGGCCCTGTGATGTCATCGCCGCCAGACGTGTCGCGGCACGCCGCTGACACGTTTCCACGGTTTTCCCATCGCGGAAGGAGGAACTACAGGCTCTGGCAAAAAGGATGAAATCACCCCGGAAGACGTTTGTTCAGTTGCCTAATCACAGAAACGACACATAACTAAAGTCATTACAAACGGCAACTTACTGGCTTTAAGAAAAACTAAAAGAAATCAAGGATTTTTTTAAAAAGTGGTAGTCACTCACGGTTACTTCTTTACACCAAGCAGTGGGAAAACATATGGAATATATCATATATCAATATATCATCATATATCAATTCAATCAAAAAAGAAAAAATGATGGAATCATGAAAAGCGAAAGACGCTCCGACACATCCCCGTTTTTTTGTAGCCACACCAGCTAAGGCGTGGACTTAGAGGACTTTAGTTTCGTGTCAATATCTGTGATCGGCTTTTTTCTACAAAATTAAACAACTGAAGGAAGGTCCTCCGCGGGCCCCAGAAGGGCGACGCAGCTACGGCGTGCGTGCAGGCGGCGCTGGAGCTAAAAACGAGCGCCCGCTGGCAGGAGGAGCGACCTCAAGGAGCTGGAGAGGGCCAGAGAGCCGGGCCAAAACCATGCTGGCCCGGCCAGTGGCCGGCCGGAGGGAGGGAGGGCCGCCTATTCTTAGAGGCAGGCCAATTAAAAAAGGGCTGTGGCTTCAGCAGCTCAGACACGGTCCAGCTTCAGCCGGCCACTCAGACACAGTCCAGCTTCAGCCGGCCGGCTGCTGAGCAGAGGGTCAGTCGGGGCTTCGACTGGCTCAGGCCAGCGTTGGATTT